CTCCACACACACACACAACTGTTGCAGCACCTGCTCTGTGGAATGATGTATCCCCAGAGATTCATGTGGATCCCACCCTTATGCTGTTTCAGAAACATTTGAAGACCTGACTGTTCTCCCAGGCACTGGGGACAGGGTGATTGTGGTGCCCCCTTCTGTTGTAGGTGGTTTATAGTTGGGGTCATGCTCTCCTGGTCAGTTGTGGGGTTTTTTTCCCATGTATTTTTTTAACTGTAAGTCACCCAATTTATTTATTGATTAAATAAATAGAAACTAAAACCAAAGAAATTATCTGATTGACAATTATTCTGTGCAGTTCTAAACAAGGGAAGTAATGAAAAGAAGGGGAGGTGGGGGAATGACAAGAAAAAGTACTAAATTCAATTTGCGAAAGGTATTTTACAAGAGGAAATGATCAGGATACGTAACCAGATTTTCATCCCATCCAGAAAATTTAAGAAGTGCCTCAGTTGTGGTCTTCTGTATATCAAAGGATATGTGTTATTACATTTTCATAGATGAGCTGCTCTTGAAGATAGGCTGGAAATTTCAGGTATTACAAAATAAGGTAGCAAAGCACTGACTGGAACCAGATGTTAGGACCATCTTATGTGAGTTGTACCCTGTTTTCACTGCAGCACAAATAGTTTCTGATCTCAGTTTAAGGTGCTGGTATTAACTTGGCAAGCTTTCACTGCTTTGAACCACAATATGTGAGAAAATACCTCTTTCTGTATGTTCCCACATGCACTGTAAGATTATCTTCAGAGCCCCTGCTGCAGTCTTCCATCATGCTGAGGTCCAGCAGGTAGCTGCTGGGAAGCAGCCTCCCCAAGGATGACCTCCCAGAGAGGCACAACTGGCATCTGCTTTATTTTTCTGGCACCATGCAAAAATGATTTTATTTGTCCAAGCCTTTGAACGTTTTAATGCATTCATATTCTAATATTTGGTTAACTTGTGTGATGCCATGGAACTCTCCATCCCTGGCCCCATGCCTTTGTTTTCATTGTTTATATGCTGCATATTTTTACCCATCGTTTTTAAGCTGCCCTGGGAAGATATTGTTATGAAGGCCAAAACATAAATTTTAAACATAAATACTTGTAATGCAGCCCAGTACACTTGTGTATAAACACAAGGCATTTGTGGTGACCTCAGCATTCATCTTGTCTCAAGTCTCCATTCTCCATACATAACTGGCAGATGGCCAGCTTTCTCCAAGAATGTGAGGACTGATCAAGAGAGAAATAATGGCAATTACATCAGAAAGTCCAGTTGTGAATTTGCCATTTAAAGCTTTTGGAGGTAGTGGCATGGCTTCTCCTTTGTCTAAAAGAGCTGAATGTATCTGGAAACGAATTAGGCTGATGTAATCTGTCATGGCTCTCCAGGCAGCCTTTAAGAAAAATGCTGGTTCATTGAAGGTCACACTGTAAATTGGTGTACAGCTCAAGTGGCCACTAACACAAACACATCACTACATCAATAAAGCTGAGTGTGCTTTTTGTGTCCAAGATCAGGGATTGGATCAGGGATTTCTTATTTTTTTTTTTCACATGGTGACCCTTGTTATGCATTAACTGTTTAGTTATAGTAATGCTGCTCTGTAGCACCAACTGGTAAGTTTTGCAAGATTTCTTCTGTAGTCCGATCACCCCCCCCCCAAATTAAAATGCAGAAAACACAAAAGACTGGACAGAAAAAGTAATTTCAGGAAAACAAGACCTAGGGAGTTCCATTGCCTTAAACCTCCAACTTTGCAAAGAGACAAGAAAATGCAAAATCCATTACATTATTTGGGTGATAGCAAAAATCTGGTTCTTTTAGAATTGTGAATCTATACTAAGATTGAAAATATTTAGTGGCCATGTTTACACAACATACTTCAACCTAGTAAGGAAGACCAAGTAGATGCATTTGCGTAACCCAGCAAGCTTCACTAGTGCTAAAACGGCTTAGATTTTTTGTGGTTTAGCATTATGTGTGTACCCAGCTCATTTAATTTATGGTTCAGTGTATTGTACAAATTCCAAAATTAGGCTAATCAGTAACCAGGTTAAGTGTATTATGTGAGTGCAGCCAGTGGGACATGCTACTAAAACAACCATGTGTTCATTGGGCTTCACTTTATGACTGAGAGAGGGTGAAGAATGCTGGAGCAATAATCTTGTTCCTGATCCAGTTAAACCATTTAATAATAAAGTGCAATGCCATATCTAAGCTTCAGTAGTTCTTTGCATTTTCTAAAATAATCAATCTCACACCATCTGAATATAAGTAGAAGCCACTACCAGTATTTCTAAATTATGGTAATATAGTATAGGAAAAAGTCTTCATAGCAAGTCATTTCATTTGTGAGCACATTCCGTAACCTATTAATCTATCAGTAGGGTGATTCTCATTAGAAAAAAAATGGTTCAGGACAATGGGTTAAACAAGTTACCTCTGAGAACTGTTCCTATCAAAAGTGTACCTTTCCCCTCCTTGTGGTTATTTTAAGGAAAAAAGGTATCAGAAATATTTAGCGCAAATTTTTGGTGTTTTGTTCCTTAATATACATCTAAATAGCTATATAATAGCAAGTATTGAACAAAGAGATGAACATTTTGACACACACACACCTATCCCTATTTTGGTACCAAAATATGAAAGATTTGGGAAAGCACCACTATCTTGTGAGAGCTACAGAGATAGCACCATCATGTATATATACCAATATCCTTCCTTTATTTAAAGAGTACTTCTGTCCAAATTCTTATACACAGGTTTTGTAGCATTTTAGTACACTGATACCAATGAAACTGTAATGAAATTGCAAGTTCTGTAATAATCTGTGCCAATTATAGACTTGCACTTCTATAGTGATAGCTAATTCATTTTGGTTGCATAGCTTTATAAAAAAAAATGATTCCAATCTGGAAATCATTAGAGGTGAATTGACAAATTAGACACTACAATTTTATTAAGTAAATATTGGAGATATATTATTAAGTTTAATTATTTTACAGGGATGGGGTTCTTTCCAATTTCTGGTCAGCCCATTCCAATACTGTATTCCAAATGCTTCAGAATCAGCAACGTCCAAACTGAAACAGCCTTTTTGTTCTGTGGATTGCTTCCCCCTCCTGCCATACAAATACATGCATGGCAGGATGTAAGGTACTTTAGAAGGTGCTTGCCTTCTATTTACCTATTTGGTATTGGTCTACGCAAGCAATCTATGATCCTGCGTGGTAGCAGCAGCACGTAAGGAAACTGATATCCAGACTGCTCTGTCCATGCACATATTGATGGAGAAATGGAAAATTACGCTTATGTTCAAGAATAAATATACCATCAATTTTCTGTATGAAATCTCTTTGCAATGGAAGCCTAAATGTTATTTTCATTAAAACGTGGACCTATAGTCTCACCTGTTTTCCCAACAGAAAGGATGGTCTCTCCTGCACTTGCTACATGAAAAACCTTCTCAGTTTGTTTTTTTTGCTATTGATTGATAAAATAATAAAATAAAATAAAATAAAATAGACCTATTTTGTACTGACAACTTAAGGCATTATAAGACAATTAACAGTCGCTTTCTGTGAAATGGGCGGCTATGTAAATGTGACATATAAATAAAATAAATTTGTAGAGTTGTGAAATGGACACACAGTAGCCAGAAATAAAACATTCTGTAGGTAGGTAGTACATGTGTCCTTGTTTTTAATTGCCTTTGCTCTTGACAGTTAAAACTCCTTCCCCAGGGATATCATTAACCTTCATTAAATTACTTTCTGCCAGTATAAAACATAATGCTTTACATTATGCAGAGACAAATATTTCATAGTATTACTTTTACCATGAATTCCAGAGTTTGTTGAAAATGAGTCATTAGTGAAAAATTTAACAGGCAGATATGAATAAAGACACAAGGTATGCCATTCTTGATCAGATTGATGGCTCCCTCTATGTTGGTTTCTAGATTTTTATAACAGACACCGTATGTGAGTTTGACAGGAAAGAATAACGCATGCAGTCGACTGTGCAATAACACATACAGAGGGAAAAAAATCCTGACCTCTATTAGCTACTATGTTCTATTAAAGTGGAGGTAACAAGACATTTTGATCTTCACTAATTCAAACAGTGCATATCTTTCAGTTGCATAATATTTAGTTAGCAGCTGTTCAGTATTCATTTTGTTTTCACTGTTCATGGCAATTCTCACTCTACACTCAATTCTGACTGAAATGGGTATTTTGAAAAACAGTCAAATTAAACTTTATTAGCAAGTCCTACAAAGCTAGAGAAATATACGGGTAGCTTTAATAATATTTATTCTCCTGATAATTGTTACAGCATTCTGGAGTAGTTGAGGATTTATCTAAATGGAGCTGAGCATCCCGGTGAACTCTCTTTTCTCCCACCAAAGTGAAATGCCTACCTCTTTAACTTCATGGCAGGGTTGCTATATGCTCGTTTTGGTGACAGCACAGTGAAAGCAGTAACTCTCAAAAGCTACATTATCCAAGGTCATAAAAAGGTACAAACCAGCAGCTCTTCAGAAGCAGCTTAGGTGTTCTATAAAGTGGGTCAGTTTTAGTTTCCTGCAGGATGTTTGACAGTGCTTTCTGGCATCTCAGGCATTAATCTGCAGCCCACCACAGCGCCTTTATGTTCCTTGCTCAAACTACAGTATTGTGTTTTTCTACCCATTAACCAAGGATAAATGACCTAGATATCATGCCTATCAAAGCCTCATTTTTCTTTTACCCTTTTGTTCTTTAATGTACCACATTATCACACACAGAACACATTTGAAAGTATGTTGAGGGCGTAATGCAGGTCTTTGTGCATCTTTCTGAAGCTTCAGTTAGGGCTGAACAATATGAATGTAATTCAGGATTTTTCCTTTCGTCTATTCCCACAGACTACTAATTTAGTATATTTAGAGATAGAAAAGCTGGTAAAAGAAGATACAAGACTACTGTGATATATTTGTTTCTGTTGAGCAGTTCTGATCACTATATTCTATGAATTACACCTTACATATCATGAGTCACTTTTATTAAAAGCATCATTACTACAGTTGGCAGCAATTTACATCTTATCTTACATGATAGCAATTTCCAAGGTGGGGGGGGGAATAAAAAGACATCACAAAAAAGAAAAACAAATACATTTACAAAGTCATGTCTGTAAACTTCAAGGCTACTTTAGAGTTGAGGTAATCTGTTTAGCTTTGTGGCTAAAGTAACAAAGTCCTTTAATTTAAAAAGGTACCTGATTTTTAAAAAAAATTGTTTTACCAGTGCATTACAAAATCACGAGACGATTTAACTGTAGTTTTATCCTGCAAGAACCTTTTCAGTGGGCAATTTCCAAAAGGTACTCTTCACATTCAACAGCTGCCTTATTATTGCTGTATCTCAAGACAGAGAGACATTCACACTATCATGGAGATTGTCAGAGAATGTGTGTATATATGTGTGTGTGTGCATGTGCACATATGTGCACGAGTGAACTTCCATACAGTCAAAATGATATGTAAGAATGATATGTATGTTAAAATTCATCTTGACCTTCACAGCAAAAATTAAAAATTAATAATTAAATATATAACTTCATACTTCCTTTCAGCAGCACTTCCTTCTATTTAGTGCCACTCTATTACAAATTGCTGCTTTATAATACCAATGGTACCAAAGGAAAAAAAAAAGCAGAGCATTATGTCAATTTCCTTAAAAAGATATGATCACCTCTCCATTTCATCTCTTCTAGGGATAATAAATAATGCACTGCACAATACTTAATGACCAAGATACCTTTTGACTCATCTGTATAACATGACTTGAACTTTTTGTTTGCTACACTATGTTACAGAACAGCTTATAAAACTAAGTATGGACATTAACTGTGAGTGTAAACAGTAGGACTACCACTTGTCAAAAGTTTAAAACACTTGAACAGTAACTTGTACTGCTTAATCATCATTTTCATGGTTTTCTATTTCATCCCCCCCATCAAGTGAGTCTAATTCTTCACCCTGTGCTATTTCATCTTCTAAAGCAGAGGAATCTGCAGTTTTATCAAGGCTCTCCTCTGCATCACTGCCCTCTAGATTTTCTTCATCTTTAAAGGCAGATCCTTCAGTTTTATCAGTAACCTTCACATCACTGGAGCCCACTGCATTCTGAAGTCCCGCTAATGCTGGGAAACCAGGTAGTGTCAATCCTCCCAATCCTGGAGGTAGAAACATAGAAGGGTAAAACAGGCCAGGGGCCATCGTTGACAGAAGGAAAGGATTGAAGGTTAGAGGGTTGGCAGGCAATCCAGTGTTGCTTGTGGTGGTAGCAGAGGCCGCAGCAGCAGTTGCACCAACAGATCCATTTGCAGAGTCAGTAGCTGAAACAATGTCTGTGCTTTTCTCAGAGTCTTTGTTCTCCTCTTCATTCTCATTCTTCTTTTCTTCTACTTTTGAAGTGCCATCTTCACTTTCTCCTTGACTGGAAGCCATAGTGGTGTTTCCAGAAGCAGCTGTTATTGGGTTATTCAACAATCCACTCAGTCCAAACATATTGGGCAACCCTGCCATACCTGGCAACATCAGAGGCAGCATAGCAGCTGGATTTTTAGAATCACCTCCAGCAGCAGCAGCAGCTGTCGCTAGTCCTGGAGGGAAGCCCATGAGACCTGCAAGTTGGAGAGATTGGAGGTTTTGTAAATTCTGAAGGCTTGCGAGATCCATTCCAGCGAACAGACTGTTCATTATCAGTGGGTTAATTCCCGATGTTGAAGCTACAGCAGCAGCTGCTGCAGCTGCTTTGGCAATTTCACTTTTTGGCCTTCTCCCTCTTCTGCTTGCACCCTCTTCCCGCACAACGGGACCTGTGAGAAGACGGTCAAACATGGATTCTGGAACAAAACCCTGGATAATGGCAAAAAAAAGCACAAGCATACAATTATGCTTTCATTTACAAGGATGCCTATATACTGAGCATTTTACATCATGCTGCTCATATGATTCACAAATGTATATAATAAGGGGGTCTATTTATTAATTTTATTTCCCTACTCTGATATCAACATAAGTTAAATATATGAGTTATAAAAGTTATCCCTAGTAAAAGCTAGCTTTTTTCATCAGATTAAATCCAAGGAACACAATTGCAAAAAAATCTCAGAAGCAAGATGTAATGTTCGAAGGGCATGACTGAAATTTTCAAACTGATTCTTCTTAACTGGGGGTATGAAGGGGCAAAATAGATGTGTGAAGCACTGCAGAAGCATTATACACTTCTGAACTTCTTTTATTCCAAAACATGACATTGCTAAATATCAACAGCATAATTGGGAAAACTACATGGGGTCCAAACACGGTGCTGAGTGCTGTGAGTTGTTCACCTGTGAAAGGGCTTACCAATGAAGCACATATAATATGTCATATCAAAGAAAAAGAGAAAGTAAAGTTACATGAACATAGATACTTATACGTCCTCGATTGGGTAGCCCTCCACGTCCCACATGCCCTTGTCACTTCATGGCTCAACTATTACAATGCGCTCTCCATGGAGCTGCCCTTGAAGACCACTCGGAAGCTGCAACTGGTCCAGAATGCAGCAGTCTGAGCAGTGGTGGGCCTGCCTTGGCATGCTCACATGACACCTCTGCTTCACAAGCTGTACTGTTTGCCGCTATGCTTCTGGGTGTAATTCAAGGTGCTGGTTCTCACCTAAAAACCTAAAAGACATGGAGCCCACTTATTTGAGGGACTGCCTATCTCCTGCAATTTTTGCAGTTGGTAAAAGCTGACAGATTAAGGACACTCTGGGTCCCCACACTTAAACAATGTCATCTTTTGGGAGCCAGGAAGCACGCCTTCTTGGTCATGGTGCCTGCCCTTTGGAATGAGGTCCCCTGTAAAAATCTGGATAGCTGCCACCTGGATATTGCTCCAGAAAGCTTTAAAGACCTCCCAGGTTTGGGTTAAGGTGGACGGAACTTCCCGTTTTAGAGGTGTCGGATATTGGTATCTGTTATATAAATGTTGATGTTAGTGTCTAGATTGCCATTTTGTTATTTCCCTTATTGTATTTCTTATTTTATTGTATTTGTTGTTGTTTTTTTTAATACCGTGAGCTGCCCAAAGTAATTCTGGAGTTGGGTGGTACCAAAACTGAATTGAATTAAATTAAAAAAAAAGTTCACCATGTAATTAAAAAAAACCCTATTACTTACAGACTGCTTAACAATGTCAGTCCAATCTGGAGCAACAGCAAATTCCGGATTTTCTTCCAGCCATCTTGGCAAGTCCTTCATTGGTGGGGCCATAGCACCACCCATCTAGTAATATATATTAAAGTTTAATTAAAGAAAAGACGATCTGCTATTTCATGTAAGGTACAGAGTTTATCAAAAGTAGCCTATTATTTATTTATGAATACTGATGCTGATAATCTGAACTTGATAAATGGTTTATTAAACATTATTAATAAATTAAGTTCAAAAAAGTTTATCAAATAATTTAAGAATATTGCAACTCAAAATCCAAAATGATCACAGAATCAAGCCCCCTCTTCCATTGTGATGTTTGATGTGAGAGACACAGAGAAATAACTCAAGCTAGCGGTTATCCAGGCTTCCCTTGAAGATCTCCAATGAGGGAGAACTTTCCACTGTGATTCAATACAGATAGTTCAAACAAAATGATACAGAATGTTTGATATGGCTGAGGTATGTCATTTTATAAAGAAGTAATATAAAAATACCTACCTGAAAATTAAATGAAACGATAGTCATAGAGGAAATTAGTCAGTGCATTACCTTTTTCCCATTCCGTTTATTTACAACAGGAACCCTTTCTTCTCCAGTTAAGGTGTTTATATCCAATTTATTAGGATTTCGACATCTGTGCCGTTTTTGCTTCGGTTTCTGAAATGGGGAAAACAGCACATCTGCACTCTTCTAAGAAAAGGAAAAAAGACAATGATTTCCTAGACATTAATACTTTAATTTGTAAAAATATGTACAAAACTTTTTATCACTGAAATAAATTACAAAGACACATTAGAATATTACATGTTCTAACACTTATTATTTTAAAACTAAAAAATTACAAATAACAGAAATACAAGCTTTTCAAATAGGTCAGATACCACAAAAATAATCTGACATTTTCAAGGTTACAACTGTTTTGCTTACTTTACTGCAAAGTATTTTTTTAAAAAATGTTCTAATAACTCTTTCAAATATAAATAAAATAGTAAAGTAATAAAACAGAAGGATAGTATCCACTTACTGGTACATAACTTGGCATATCAACAGTATACATGGGATGCAATTTAAGCCATTCAACTAAATCCTTGTTTTTAGGTGCATCCTCTCCCACTAGTCTGGTCCCATCTTCCATATTAATGACAGGAATATGAGTGTCAGGATCCAGTTGCCCAGGAGATGGAATGTTTCTTGGTGGAGGAGGTTCCATTTCTTCATCAAACACTTTGGTCACTTCTGCATCCTCCTGCAGAAAGTTGAAAATTCTATTAACTTTCAACATAATGCTAATTCAACAGGAGTGATGCATAAAACACATACAGTGGGGCAAAAAAGTATTTAGTCAGCCACCAATTGTGCAAGTTCTCCCACTTAAAAAGATGAGAGAG